TACTTTGGTATTTAAAATTAAACCAACAATTAAACCATAAAGACCCAATTACTTCAACAAAAATCAATATTAAAATCCCAACCTTACGCTTCATTCCCAACATCAATTTTGTGTTCTGAATTTGTGAAATTGTATTTGGTTGAGTATAACTATGATATTTGTGTTGGATTATACCAGCCGGGATTGGAAGTGGATTTGTAGGAACAAAGTTCTGACGAGTTTCTGATAGTATTAAATTTAATACATCAATACCAACATTAATTTCACTGTATGATTGTCTATGTATAACCCAAATTATTAAGTTAATTATAATAAAAAACGAAACTTGCTGTATATATAAATATATTTATAAAAAATAATTACACAATAGATGTTTTAATAGTATCTTTCATTAATTCTAAATCAGATACAGCTTTTTTGGATTTTTCTTCTTTTTTTACTTTAGTTTTTTTTGTGTCTTCCTCAGAAGCTTCTAAAGATTCAATTGTCAAATTACGGAATTGACGTTCTCCCCATACCTTTTGCATTTGACGAGCAAGTTTTTCTGTAGATTCTAGATTACTGTGTTATTGTTATAAATGTTATTATGACCACAATGATGATTATTATTATAGATCAGTAAATTGTTAATATACATAATTTTTGTTGTCGTTAATGTCAGATCTAAATTCTTAATTTATTAATAATTCAATAAATACGGTTGAGAGATTTCTATTCCTTGCTCATTAACATCAATAGGAGCTGTTCCAATTCTCGGTTCTAAGGACAACTTTGACAAGTTATTGTTTTCTTCCATTTTGATGAAGTATGAAGAAGATATGGATAACAATTCAATTAATGATTAGATTTTTGACAGATTACACAAACAAACAAAATGATGCACTCTCCTTGGGACATTGGAAACTTCTAATTGACGTCAAAGATAAATTTGGTAGTTTCAAGTATATCTTTTCTCCAAAACACGTAAAACGCATCTGGGTAGCAATAACAAGCCTTTTGAAACTTCTAGGAACAAGAATCTTTGCTTTAATTTTAAATAATGAAAATGCCAAGCTTGAAAATGATACTATTCTGAACACTTGTATCCGTCATGCTTTTGCCTATCCTATCTATTACTATAGTGGCAGAAAGTCTTGTAATGGGATGATGAATGAGTTGTAGATTTTGCCGAATCCAAAGCTTTCATGACACAAAGAAGTGGAACATGGCCTTAACAAAAAAATTACAACAACATATACTTTACATGTGTTTTTATTAGTTCTCAATAGATTTATTTATATTTAATACATGATAATAATCTATTAATAAGATACATATAATTATTACAAATGTTTTTTTATAATGCAATTGTTTTTAATGTTTTAAACCTTTCTCTAGATTAATATGGACCAAAAGCCCCATTTTATTATCATTATGGTCCAATCTCCATAGAATCTTCATCTTGATCACTATCACCATCGTAATATTCATTATCATGTAATATAAGTCTACTAGCTCTACTTTCATCGATATTATGTTCTTCTCTGGCGTCTCTTATTTCATCTTCAGATTCCTCCAAATATTCATGTGAATCACCAGGAATCTCTTGCATCTGTACACTGGGAGCACCATCTAAGAATCTTAATTGCTCGTGAACTAGTTGAGTTAATTTTGATAATTCGGATTTTGTGTTGAAATTATCTACTCTTCTGATTAGATTTGGATGTAATGAATAGTCTGGAGCAAAAAAATGAAAATATTTTGAATTCTTTGGTAATTCTGTTGGTAGTTCTGTTTCTAACAAAATGCTAGTTTCATAAGTCCAACAACGTGCAACATTATGTATTTTATATCCACCGCCACCAAGTACTAGTAATGGAAGATTCCATTCTTTTATAAATCGAAGACATTCTCCATGTGCTTTTATACTCAAATTGAATCCACCAAGTCTATCTTTTCCCAATGAATCAGCACCAGATTGAAAAACCACTACACTTGGATGATAACGATCATTTACATCCTGTATAACTTCCTTAAAAAGTGAAACATAACTATCATCATCAATTCCATCTTTCAATGGAACATTTAGACAGAAAAATTTTCCTGGACCTTGCCCAATCTCATTCAAATTACCAGTCCCAGGAAAAAAATTGTCTTTATCATATTTATGAAATGATACAGTCATCACTCGATCAGTATTATAAAATGCTTCTTGTACACCATCACCATGATGAACATCAATATCAATATACAAAATACGAGGATAGTACCTTAATAAAATTAGGGAGGGGAGTTTTTTTTAAAAAAAATTAATTTTATTTTACTAACTAAAAATAATTTAATTTGTCAAATATTCACTATACCACTACTAACCTTAACAAATATTGTGTAGCTAATACTATATCATTAACAAAACAAAATCCTGAAGCTTCAAGTCTTTTTGCATGATGCAATCCACCGCTCCAATTTACACATATATCAGCGCCACCTGCTACTAATCGATTTGCTGCTGCAATGGAGGCACCGGCATAAATTTTACAAAAATCATATAATCCTTCAAATACTGGGCAATCTTCATTGATATTGTATTTTTGAAACTCATCTATAAATTTATTTGAATTATCAGGAGTCACCCTGTGTAATTTTTTTTTTTTTTTGATTAAAGTGATTAAAAATGAAAAAATCTAATAATATAGCTTTATATATTATGTATGGATAAAATAATAATATTTTTTTTAAAAAAAAGATTTTGGAATTTGAAATTATCAAAACATTAGCACAAATATATAACTTACTTTTTTAAAAAATTTATATAATCAGCTTCATGAAATTCGACTAGATCCTTATCAGTAGCTTTTTCTGGACAAAAAACACTCATTTTTTCATGCATTCGATAATTGAGAACCAAGTCATTAGTCAAGGTTAGCCTATGAGGTTTCATTGGATGTTGCATCTATATATGAAATAAAATATAATAATTGATAATACAAGGTATTAGTTTTCTAATAAAAATATGTCTTTATAGAAGAGATTTAGTTATTTGCCATATTTCATTTAATGAAAAAAAGAAGAGTAGTTGGTAGTAAGTGAACATACACCAAAATGAAAATTTCCAACTTCTTTATGATGAAAGTAAGCAACCTTTCGTTTTGAATGTGGTCTTATATGATAATCAATTGATTGTAAACGAGCATGTTTTGAACGAGAATCTGTGGTGAAGGTCGGTGAAAACATTTCTAAATAAAATAAAAAAAAGAATTTTGTTTGATCCGTTTTTTTCATAATTATAGTAATCGACAAAATAGCACCATATATGGTCTAACAAGTGTACAATAATCTTTGGGTGATCATCACTTTTCCGCCAAGTTTTATCGAGTCAAAACATTTCAACTTTGGGGTTTTAATTTTGACTTCATGTATAGTCTGTAAAAGATATAAGTTTGAAAATGAACAAACAATTACAAGATTTTATATTCTTCAATCTGTTGTGAATCTAAAAAAATATCATCATAAGGGTGAATAATTACCATTATTATTATTATTGTCATAGTAAAAATCGGTTTCGATCTTGTTTCGACCCTATTTCGACCAGATCTGCAAACGGCTGAAATAGTTTCGACTTCATGTATATTACAGACACAATTCTATAAAAAAATTATATTAATATTAATGTATTGTCTGTTAAAGAAAATTGGATGTTTTATTTGTATTCTATTTATTTTAATTTATACAGTGCTTGAACTGAAGAACCTAAATGTATTGATTAGACAAAAACACACATAATATTACCCTACTCAAAATGAATGTCACTTTTATTTTTATTTTTAGTCAATTTTTCAACTTCCTTGTCTGCATTCAAAAATAAACACAAAAAATAAAATAAAATAAACTAGCCACAATCAAAGTTGATAGTAAGTATCCTTACTGACCTCAATTAGTGGGATTATTTAAGTATTGCATAAAATCTCATCCTAATTCAAGATGGAGAATAAAACCCTACTTTGAAACATAAAGAAAATTAAAAAAGCAGACATTTAATTTGAGTAGGGTAATAAGTATACAAGAAATTTATATCAGCTTATAGCTTAGGTTCTGAAAATTATGTATATATATATGTTGCTAAATTTCCTAGAACTTAAGCAATTAAAAATAAAAGAAACATGATCATTTTAGGAAAAAAATTTTTGATGAATAGCATTACAAAAAGCTTTTATGGTAAGTAATTTTGAGAATGTCTAATGCACCTGAATTCTAAATTCACCAGAGTTATGTGGTCTTTGAATTGGATTTATGTATGAAAAGCAAGGCTCCATTAGGAGATTTTATATTAACTTGAATTCTAAATTATTGTCAGAAACCAATGCAACTCATGCTCACTGATAGTATTCCTCCAATTGTATGGGATAAATGTGAGGAGTTTGTGGAAAACTTTGTTGGGTGTGATGTTGATGTTCCATCTGAAGAATTTTTGCATGATGAGAAGTAGAAGGAAATTGTAAGTGTATTTTGTAATCTAATCATCATATCAGAAATGTTTGCATTGACAATGGAATGTCTCACTATTAGGAACAATCCCTGGAACAATCTAGTGTTAGCATGTGAAGAAAGGGAATTGTTAAATGAAAGCACATATGTAACTAGTATGATAGTGCTGGTAATTCAAGCAGCCTTCCTTATAGAAAGCCCATGTTTATTACAATGTACGTTAATAATAACTTGGAATAAATATATAATATACTTGAATTTTTTAGTGCTGAATGACAGTTTGGATAAAAAAAGTAAAGGGTGATTGGAGAAACAGCCAGACATTATGTTTGTGATGAATGATGGGAGTAAAAAGTATGAAATTATGTGTACCAAGTGTTCATGTTTGATCTGTACAAATCAGAAAGAGAAAAATGATACAGTAAAATTATGGCATGAAACAAATTACAGTATGTGCTGGGACCACAAGGGGTGCAGACCAGAAAATGAAAAAATTGGAGTTATTGGCTTGCGGGTTGTGGGTTCCAAGATTCATCTAACTATCCTTATTATGTATATGGCTGATATTATCATCTACATGAATCCAAAATAAGGATACTGGCTGCAACTTTTGATGATGGTTGCTGCCACCTTTGCGTCATATAAAAATGATTGTAACCACTGGCTGCAACTGCCTTTACAACCATTTTTTGGAATGCAACATGGGACATTAGTCCAAAATTCCCTGTACAACCATCACCTTCATCAGATGTGATAAAATTCATTGAGACATTTGCTAATTTTATGAGGTATTTTGATTGTTACTACCTTATGCCACAATACCCTATTTATTACAAGATAGTCCAACTGTTGATACAGAGTAAAGTAGACCCCTCAATGTTTTATTATTATTATGTATTTAGATCCTTGATATTTTTGTATTTCTATTATTATGTATATATTTATCCCCTAAATGGTTAATTGGCTATTGATAGCTGATAAAATTTTTCTGATATAAAAAATTTTTTCTGAGGCATCACTTTCTAATACAAAAATGATCTTTGAGATTCAGCTGATTAATCTATAAATAAAAATCCAGTTGTTGTCCTTGTGGTTTTTGTAAAATCTTCTTTAAAAGTTGGTCAATTGACTGATTTTACTTTGCTGATTGTTAAATTGACCAATAAGAATGATCAAAACTTTAATTTGTGTTACCATTAAAGAATACTCTGACTGTTAAAGAGATAATATTTTGGTTAATATTAAAGAAACATTGGCATGAATAGGACCGGGAAAACTCTATAGTATGTGACCGCCAAATTAAATGGCAAATCATATTAATGCGAATCTTAGTTTTTTATAATTATGCGAATCAATTTTCCAAACACATTTAAAAAATTATTAATAATGTGAATCGAAATCAGCCAAGGACATATGAAATTTATCTTTATTAATTAAAAATTCCAAACGCCAAGTAGCTTCAGCTTCTAATGCTCTTTTAAACTCTTGTAGTTCAGATTTAGAAAGTTTTCTTCGAGAAAAAGATTTGTTTGCAGGAAATTTTTGAGGAAAAAGTTGCTTTGCAATTATTTCAGGTTTTTTACCACCTCCAAAATTAGCTGGACTATTTATAACATAATCAATATACTCCAAGTCACAAAGACCCTTGCATATATGTAGATTTTGATCTATATTATTATCATCAATGATATGTTCTTCATGGTTACTTTTTGTAAGGAATGCTTGAATGTCTTTTAAAGTTTGCAACTTGATAATTGATTCCAAGTGAAATAATTTGACCACATTTGCAAATAAATTTTTTAGCATTGACAAATTCTTGAAAGTTAGGGTATGTAGTAAAATGTCGTTGGCGTGAATCACAAGGAATTCTTTTACTATTTTTAGTTTGAATTTCTTTTTTTTTTTTTTTTTGGTATATATGACCAAGATAAATTTTTTTTATTAATAATGCAAATTATAGTGTAACAGATGACATTTTTCATTTCTCTATGTTTGCGAATTCAGTGTAACCGAGGACATTTTTTCCTTCGAATTATATAAAGGCGGTGACCTTTTCCATTTTCCATTAATCGAATCTATAGTGAGGCGGTCACTTTTTTTTTTTTTAAAGTACTTTCAAATCATAGTGTTGGCGGTCACATTCAATAGAGTTTTCCCGGTCCTGCATGAATACGTGGTTAGATGTTGTGTAAAGTTCCACAACATATTAGTGTCCAATGCAAAAGGTAAAAACTTATTGATGATAAATTTGACTTGTTGATCATAGCTGTTTTACTATTAGATGATCAACATCTTGTGTAGCAATTATGCAAATGCATCTTCTAAGTAGAATCAAACAATGACAATATGTACCATATCAAACTGTGGTTTTTTGCTGCTGATCTACTTATATGATTTTTGGGGTCTTGTGAAACTAAATCAACGTGGTTAGATGTTGTGTAAAGTTCCACAACATATTAGTGTCCAATGCAAAAGGTAAAAACTTATTGATGATAAATTTGACTTGTTGATCATAGCTGTTTTACTATTAGATGATCAACATCTTGTGTAGCAATTATGCAAATGCATCTTCTAAGTAGAATCAAACAATGACAATATGTACCATATCAAACTGTGGTTTTTTGCTGCTGATCTACTTATATGATTTTTGGGGTCTTGTGAAACTAAATCATGGCAGTTATGGAATTATCAATTAAGAAAATACTTGGGGGAAAATACTAGGTTTTCTATATAGAAAAAGCTCAAGAATTGGTGTCAGTGTTATCATTATTATGATTTATTAAATAATAGATTAAAATATTTTTGTGTGTATATATACACACACACACATAGTACATATAAATGTATTAAATGATAAATGAGTAGTGAATTTTTTTTTAAATAGTAATAAATAAAATTTACTTTTTTAATTTACTTATTGGGTTAGTTTCAGATTGTTTTACATAATGAGGTTCCATCATCATCATAGGTCTTTGTCCCAAATTTGGCAGTGCTTGAGGTACTGAATATCTCATAACTGGTGGTATTGCTATATAAAAAAATGGCATATTGGTATTCTTGCTTTGGTTAATGTTTAAATTAAACAAACTTTATTGAATTGAACTCATTAAATTAGAAAATCTTTATATGTACCATGTGGATTTTGATATTGCTGATACATATGTGGACGCATTCCATTTGGAATCATTGGTGTACAGCCTGGAGATGGAAATCCCTGTGAGCCAAAATGTTCTATATGTTTAAAAGCAAATCATACAAATTAGATTATTAAGTGTTTAATCATTATATATTATATTACTAAACCATGTGTATGAGACAAATAAAACATACGTGGAACCATTGGTTGGATTTGCGGATTGTATATTTCTGTCAAAAAAATATATAAGATTTTGTTAAATTAAATACAAGTTTCTTTAGTTAAAACAACATATACATACGAGGTGCACCAGTTGATGGAACTGAAGGTGTAGTGAATGGCATACTAGGCACAAACTAAAAACATATTTAAAATATTTATTAATATTCTTTTTCACTCCATACTCCTAAAAAATGAAAGAAGCAGCATACCCTTGGTTGCATATATGACATTTGTGTAGGTTGTTGTAAAGAGACTACACCATATTGAGTTGAATTTGGATATCGAAAAGGTGCAACAGAGTAAGGCATAAATCCATAACTTGGATTGACAACTATAATTCATCATCATATCAGTTTTGACAGCAAAACAATGTCTAATAATTGATTATGTA